TACTATACTAATCTTATCACCTGTGCAGTGAAGTTCATAGAACATACTCCTGCTTTCAAGTGACAGATTTACAGAACAATTTACATTGGAAGGAACCTCTGGAAATCACCTGGTTTAAACCTCACATCCTGGAAGACAATATAGCAGCACCATGTACCAAGAACTTAGAAGAGCTCAGTGTGAGATCTTACCTAAAGGGAGGCTGCTGATTGCAGTCCAATCCATGCACTCACAAGCACTGAGACACAGGGAACCAAAAGTCTGTTCAGCATTGATAATGGAAATACAATCCTTGCAATGACATGGTGACCAGGACATGCCTCATCCTCATTTCTTTTTAGGCTGGCAAACACCTGCTGCTGCTGGATGTGCTTTTCTGTTGTCTTTAGGCAACAGCAAACACTCTATTCTTGCCACCCACTTCCGTGAGTCATCAGGCTTTACTCACTGACCTGTCTCCTGAAGTGGGTGTCCTTGGAAGGTCACTAGATGTGCACTGTTATCTTGATGACCTCCTCTGGGTGCCATTCTCATGGTCCATCTTGCATGGTTATTTTGGTGCTTCTACACCCATTCAATCCCATTCTCACCAAGGTGCCCACTATAATTCTCAGCAAAAGCAGAGACATGTCTGGAGGGCTTTGCCCATCTGAGCATTATGAACCCTCCTGATGCTGGAGGGTTCACAAACCCCCGGGCAGTGACTCACAGTGAGGAATGTACTTTTATTTCAACCACCCATGAACTGCACTACCAAATAAAGATAACATTTATATGCATATATTTTAACAGGAACGTTCACATTTTCAGGTATTTTTCTTTATAACAGATTACGTCTTTGATTATTCTGATTTTCAAAAGCAGGTCCAACGCACAGTGCATTTTCCAGCAAGTGTTACAAAGGAGGGAGTGAGTTGTTTTACACACTATGCTTCCATACTTATAAATCCATTCTATATGTATTCAGGAAAATGCATAGATAAAAGCTGAAATTGCAATTTTGACATTGAAAATGAGCACTACTATCTCTTCATAAAAGAAACCACATCAGACAGAATATTGCTGCTAGTAACTGTTGTTCAACTGGAATAAAGCACTGCATTTCTGAAAGTGCAGAAAAAAAGAAGTGGAAATTCAGTGCCAGGCTGGATGGGGCTTTGAACAACCTGGTCTAGTGGACAATGTCCCTGACCTTGGCAGGAGGGTTAGAGCCAGATCATCCCTGAAGTCCCCTCCAATCCAAACCATTCTATGATTCCATGAAAAGTAGCTCAATATATTTCTTGTATCTTCTTATATTTCCTCTATCACATTAATAGATTAATGCATTAATCTACATATATACGTATACATAATTTACATATGTACAGTATAAAATACATTGTACATATACAATATGTATGTGTACAATAATGTTTAGCTGGATAATTTTATCTGATATTTGAAGAAAATGATTCAGTCATAGCTGTGCTCTACAATGAGTACTTGAAAGGGAGTGACACACACATACAAACACCTGCCTTTAAGCCCACTTCACCAGAGGATACAAGATGTCTCTATTGAAAAGTTGATTCAAGACTGAAGAAAAGAAAGATTTAACAGAATTATCAGGGAGTTACTTAAATAAAAGAGAAGCTTCGTTTAAACAATTTATAGCTGGGACACAATGGCATTATCACAATGCTGAGTATTAATTATTATGTTTGCTCTTTCTGGCCTGCCACAATGATGAACAATGTGAGATATTCACCATTTAGCTAATTCACTCAGTCTAGGCAGGGGATCAAAGATGTTTCTATACTGTCTCTTCCTTAACAACAGCCTTTTCTGGTTCCAGTGTAACTGAAAGAAACCCAAAATTTAGTGTGACCTGTGCATATCTTGCCTTGTCATATCCCAGAGCCTAAAAGCCAGCTGCAGGAACACAACAACTTAGCTTCAGTCTGTCCAGGGCAGCTGGCACTCTCGAGAGGCAGAGCAGAGACCAAGGACTTCAGTTCCCTTTCTCTCAGACTTGCAGCAGACAGAAAAATCAGAGAAAAAAAAAAAACCAAAAAAACAACAAATTTCACAGACATCTGGAGCTGCATGCAAGATGTGAGCTTTGTCAAGTGTCCTCCCTGGAACAAGAGAGTTGAGCTGAACAGACCCCCAATATTTACCCATTTCCTATCAACACAATTCTCTCTGGCTTCCCCATTATCACTTTGCTCATCAGTGAACGTATGATGCTTGCTGTTTGCTGCCTAGCACACTGCATTTCTTTTTGCAGATGGGTGAATAACCATTCATATCTCTGACTAGAGTCTTTCTTTTGCTAGAGATATGCAACTGGATTTGTGTGAGGCAGCTGCTCAGTATTTGTGTGCCAGTCTGAGTGGTCCAGTATGTCATGGTGGACAGATGACGTCAGTTCTGGAGCTGGCAGCACAGGAACTGGGCCACTGCTTAGTGCTATGAATGCTGATGAAATTGCTTTAACCAAGATTTGTTTCTTCTCTCAGAACAATATGATCTTGCAATATATGGGCTCAGTTTGAATTTTTTTTCCCTACAAGTCTTTCAGGCTTTTCCCATTGTCTGAGCACTCCACACTCCTCCAGTGTATTCTCTAGAAAATTTGATATAAGCATTGCAGTGTGTCTGGTAATGCAAAATTAGGTATTTTAACAGGCATACTGCCAGGGCAGAAATTTCCTCTCATCTACGTGCCAGTGCAGAAATCCCACTCATAATTAATATTTCTTCCTGAAAGACCCTTAGCATCCATCTTCCCCACCATACAAAAGCACAAGCCAAAACAAACAAAAACCCCTGCAAAACACAGCAAACCACTCCAAAACTGATGCCAAATACTATTATCTCCTTCTTTGGAATTTTCTGACATACCCTACTTGTTGCATTTCTGTCTGTTTAGACACTATGTTTTGCACAGAAAAATCTGTGTTACTGTGTCTCATCCATGAAAGTTGTTGCTAATGTTTTAACAGCAAATAATGAATCCAATCCATCAGCTATGTGCATTACTATAAAACACACATACACATTTGAATTTTAAATTTTATGAATATACAAACATAAAAGCAAGTGTTGATTGAAGCCCACCCGCATCAACCCTCCAAACATTCCCAGACCAATGCAACTCATCAAACATGATCAAAGGAGCTCTGGGCCAGCAGAGATGGAGCGATATGAGCCTTACTTTTCAATACAGACAGTCATGTACTGATCATTGTAGATTTTTTCATTTCCCAGTATTTACTATTTCTTCTAGTATTATTTCATGCCTCTTTTTGCTCTTTATCTGTGCTTTGACTGACATTGCTAATGTATGAGCAGCAAAATAAAACATATAAGGTAACTCTCTGAAACAACTTTAAAAAGAAAAATCTCTGTTCCAAAGAGGTTGGCTTTCTTGCTTGAAGATAGATAAGATTGTAAGCGAAATAAAAGAGGGGAAAAGCTATGCATAAAGACGTAACACTGCTAATGAAAGAAGTGCAGAGTAATACAGTAAAAAGGAGGAGGAGGCATCAAATATGCAGGGGGATTGTTTATCACAAGTTACTATTTTACAGTCAGTGGACAGATAATTCTGGTTTGGACACCTGCATAGAATTATGTCCACACCTGCACTTCACTGATCATACTGTGTGAAATTGTTTCTCTTCCTTGAGCAAAAGACAAACAAAAGGTTACAGGGATGAATGTGTTTGTAAAGTAATCTGCATTACTGAATGCAGAAAATTTACACACCTGTATCTATTATGTTAATTTATACGCTTGTTCTGTCTGGCAAATATAAATATACATGTCCACAGATATGCATAATTTAAAATACTGTACCTACCTTGAGAAGGTACCGTGTATAAATGTGTGTGCATGCACGTGTGCTCTAGAACTAGAGAAAAGCTGTTACCCTCTCAAGATACCTACAGAATTTCAAATACACACACATGCACTGTATGAGTTATCTGTGTAAATGACAAACAGTGAGTGAAGCATCCTGTCAATGTCATTAAAACTGAAAATTAATTATAAGACTGACACAACTGACATTTCTCTTCATGAATAATTTTACTTTACTGAAACAGAAAATAGGAAGGCCGCTCATTTTTTAAAAGGACGTAAAGTTCAGAAGGCTGTTCAATCTATTCATAGCCATATCTGACTATCAAAACTGCACTTAAAAGAGCCACCTCAGAAAGTTTCTTTCTATGTACTTTTTTTGCCATTCCTTCCTCCTCTCAGTCACAAAGTCAATGAGAATTCATATTTTAATAAATCTCTGTCAATATGCATTACTGAAGCCTTACATTTACACTGATGAACACACAGAGAACTATCCTTAGAGTCTAAAAACCACACTTCAGCATAAAGCATATGTTTTGGCCATGTTACAATAAATTCATAAAAAGAATCTTAATGCAAATGCTGCCATTAGCACAGCACACTGCTTTGGAACAAGCTGTCTTGGGAGGTATAGCGGGGAAGGAAGGGAGACACCACTGCACTCAGTGCTTCTCCACTCCAGGCTTATAAAATGCTTTTAACTTGCCTGCCAGGTGGCAGAGTTGGGCAAAGCAGTCATCATGTAAGAAAGTTTCATTACTCCTTAAGAAGCAAACGACAAAATTTACTGGAAACTTTGTTCACTTGGGATTTTTGTGGGTTTATCAATATGCAAAATTATTACTTCACCTTTACATCACATGCACCCCATTCGTTTTCAGTTCTGACTTGCTCTTTCCAAGTCTTGTAAGACTGTTTCTCTGTCTCCCTATCCAAAAAAAGCATCCTTCTTCAGAGCCCTACCAGATTGTACCTACAGGTACAATCTCTTCATGCTTAAGTTTTACTGCAAGTAGATGTATGATTAAGTGTGATCCTATTGTGTTAAGAGGATATTTATATTCTAGGATATGATTTGGCTAATTACAACAAGTCAAACAGAAGTGTGGTGCTTGAGAAGACATTTTGGTGAGCTTCCAGGAACTTACCTGCCAGCTGCCAAGCTGGCTTACAGCTCTAGGCTCAATCTATTCACCCATCCATCACCAAAGGGTCTGAATGACTGATAACAAAAACAGATGATTCATCGTTGGTATGCTTTCTGTTCTCTCTTTGTCCTATGGAAGACATGGCATTTTAAGATTAAGGTTGATATTTCAGGCTAAGAGAAACTTAAAATATAAAGAGGACAGTTTTTATATTACTGGATAGATACTTGTTCCTAATTTTTAGAAGACAGGGAGAGCCAGAAATGAAATTTTTCATTGTTAGCTGATCTTTATATTAGCAGCGACCCATTCCTATCATCTTGACTGTAAATACCGTCAGAAGATGCTCTCCCTTTTTGTCTTTTTAGATAGATCTGACTAGGAAGATCATATTTAATTTCCATTTACTTAAGAAGTGTTATTCAAGGTGTCAACCTTGAATTTAATAACACAAACATCAGGGACTTAACTCAGAGGCCTATTAGAAGGAAAAGACAACTTTAGGTCTGGCATGGTGATGGCAGAGAAGAAAGGAGAAATACATTAGAATCTTGAAAAGCACAGAGAGCATTTCCACCTAACTTTGCTCAAGTGATACAAATAAAATGAGAAATTAACACAAAAAAAAGCGCTCTTCTCTTAAATACTGAGGTACTTGCTAGTTGTATTATTAGTGTATCAGATTACTGTAGAAAAAGCTGTGACTACTCAGGTAAACTGGATACCTAATTCACACTGTGAATACATAATCATTGATTGGAACAGTTTTGGTTGGAATGAACTTTTAAAGGTTGGACTACCTCTAGTCCAACCCCCCTGTAATGAGCAGAGACACAGAGAAGTCACAGAGACAAATAATAATCTGAGTGAGATTATCTCTCACTTTGAGAGATCTTTGCAACATGAATTTAGCAACATGAATCTTTGCAACATGAATTTAGCAACATGGGATAGCTAAGGAGGAAAACACAGCTGAGATACCATTACCTGGGTAATGTGGTGTGGACTGTGGTGAGACTCAAACTAAGATATGTTGCACAGTCACTATGGTCACAACCTATATAGGATTTTGAACGGTTTGCACAGTTTCTCACAGGAACAATGAGATAGTCACAAAAAAATATTCAGGAGCTGAATAAACCTCCTTCAAGGGAAAGCTTTAAAGAGCTCAATCTGTTTAGTTTGCCAAAGAATGAGAGGCAACTTGATTATAAAGAATAAGCATCAGCTACATAAGTGCTCTTTGATTCAGTGGATACAGTAAAATGTCTGTAATATAGTGAAAGCAAATCCAAGTATTAGAGCATTACAGAACTTCAGCATTCCACTGAATATATACATTAGAATACAGTTTTATTCATACAGTAACTCATGATCTTCTTCCACAGGAAGCTTCACTGAGTTCACAGTATAGTTGGCAGTTATTTAGTGAAATTTTTGGTCTATTCTCATTGTATAATTTGTGGCCCTGCAATTCACTCATTGTGCCATTTGAACCTAGCACCAAACACAGCACTGTTTATTTTTTTGACTTTCATTTAGCTGTCACTTTAACAGCATAGAAATGTAATTCAGTGAACTGAAAGATACAGGAAGATAAAAGCCCTCATTACACACACGTTATACAACATTCCACCTGGTGATTCAAACAGTACTCAAAATTTCTGCTTAAGATGTTTATAAAATTCTAGCTAAATAAACTAATATTTTCAATATTGGTAGAAGCACTGGTAAGCCTTTTAAAGCTTTTTTTGAGAGTTACTCATAGGAATTGTTTAAAGAGTGGAAAGCCAGTATCAGTTTGAGTTTTGAGCTTACTGGTTTCTCACAGAGAATACTTCTGTAGAAATACTCTGGGTCCCCCATCATGTATTGGGAAGCAAATGGCATCTGCAGGTTCTTGGTAAACACTTGCAGTGTAGCTCCTCAGTGGTCATGCCATACTTTCACATAAAGCTGTTCCACAGCAGAAGCTTCAAGGTCAGATGCTTTTTCAAGCAGACTCTGATCAGGTCACTGCTTGTGAGTCACCAAGGGGGGAATATTTTCTTTCTGTTCACAGGAGAACATCTCCTGCCTGAGTACAGACTGGCTATCCATCTGAAATGGGAGTTTTCTTTCTTTGCCATGCACTGCCTGCCAAGATCAGTTCCCCTGCCTGGAACAACACCTGCCCTGAAACTATTATGGAAAGGTTTGGGTTTCCTGACCAACACCTTCTGCCATGGATATTACCAATACAGCCTTGAAGGCTTACAAAAGGGGGTCTAAAAGAAGCCTTCAGACCTGAGAACACAGCCTAATATCAGATTTTCCGGGCTGGGTCTCCACCACCCTGTCCCAGTCTGAGTCCCGTCTCAACCTGACTCCTCGTACCAGTCCCAGATAACTTCCCACCATGCCCATTGACTCCAGGGCTATGTCTGCACCACGGGCTGCACATCATCCCCCACCTTCTTTCTCACTACAGCCCCATACACAGCCAGGTTTCCTTACAGTTATTCTCAAAACCAGATTGTAACACCCCTTTCTTTCTAGGCCACCTTTCTGAAAATAACTTGGGCAATTCCAAGCTGAAGTAGGAAAGCCGAGAGATAAGACAATCTGTGCCGATACCTTTCTCCAATTTCTGAACTACCACCAGTGGTGGTAATCTTTATAGATGTTACCTTCAAAATTAAAAATACATCTACAAAACACTTGCGAACCTGAGTCTTTTAGAGAGCTACAGCTTTGTAACACTTTGGCTACATTTCTTGCAAATGGCAAGAGAGAACAGACAGAACCTAAATGGATTGGGAGTCTCTGCTCAATGCTTTAGATATCAGCTAAACATCTCAGGTTTTCATGCTATCTGGACTAAACTTAAAGTGCTGCTAAGTTATTTCAGCTCGTACTGAATGTTTGTGTCCACTCTTTGATGGTGGAAAAGATAAAACGGGAAAAGGAAAGGTACGTGAGTTATGTCACTTATTGTGCCTAAAATGCTGTGCTGCATCATCTCTACAGGAAAAAACAATCTGAACAAAACACACAGGATTTGATTTTAAAAAGTGTAGAGCTGTAGTAGGTTAAAAGCTGCACATCTTGTACTTCTTGATTTGTCTTTGCAAATTAATTTTAAACCTAAGATGCATTTTGAAGAGGCCTGAGCTCTTTGCAGCTTATCACAGCACTTTCACGCTTGCAGATGTTTTGTTTTCAGTAGAAAGTCACAATTATCTTATGTTACAGCGTGATGCATAAGGTACACATCTGGCCATACTATATTACTGTCAGAACAGTAGTTTATATTGGACAGGCAATGCTTCAGCACACAATTTGTGCAAAGGCCACAGGAGAATTTCCTGAGCTTTGCTCTCCAAGGATCCCTAGTACTCCTTAGCAACCTTGCTGGAAGGACTGAAATCACAGCCTCCAGGCAGCAGGTGATAAGTGTCCCTGTATACTTGAAAAAGTTGCTGGCTACATGTACATCTCCAGGAAAAAATATTTAATGGCAAGTCATCAAACTAGGATATAGATAAAAATGTTAAGACTGAACACTGCAAGAGGAATAATGGCAAGCAGGCTGCTGCAGTGGCCTTATATCAACACACAGAGTGCACGGCTTTAGATGATGCTTTCAAAAAAAATTTGCCAACAGGTTTTCTATAAACCTAGTCTGGACTGAGGAGCACCAGAAAGAGGTGAAATGACAGTCTGAGAGACTGTGATCTAATTGCTAGAACTGTTGACCACTAGTAGCCTTTATGCATGTCAGGCTATATTATGGGGTGTATTATCTATACTGAACTACTGCATTCTTTCCTGGTACTGCCTCAACCACTACATTTTTTCCGTCAATAAACTTTGGCTAGCGGAGTTCGTAATTGTTCCACAAGGAACAATTTCAGGACTGAAATGCCACAAGGCAGCATAACCATAAATATTTTGCTTATCCCTTTCACTTTTAAGGCAAGATATTGAGTTCTATTGCTTCTCATTCTCTGCCATGCAGTTAAGGGGGTAGAAGTGTCCAGGCCCTTATTATGCACAGCCCATCTTTTATTTCCTGCAAGCACATTCAATTTCAGATAGCCCACAGTGTGGTCTTGAAATGTTATTTTCCATCACACTAAACTAATCTGAGGTCTACATTTTTACACATTTTATGAACTCAAGAGTTTGCTTTCCAGTGTTGCATGAAAAACAGAGGTCATTCAGAAGGTTATAACTCTTTCAACAAAACAACTGTTGTGACACTTTTGAAAGAGAAGGACAAGCACTTAGAAACACTGGGCAAACCACTGCAATCAACATATCTAAGAAATTCCACTCTTTTTTTTTTTTCTCTGTTTCTAAAAAAAATAGAATTCCACGTCACATGTTGTTATGATGTTACTGATTTAAATGTTATATTGAGAAAAGCTGAAACTTGATCAACACTCATTTAAAACTTCATTTTATTTATATATCTCTTGCAAGAGAAGTCTGTCTCCATTTTCTTTTCTACTTGTATTCATGATTGCTGAAGAACTGCATCTTCTCTTTACACTGTTTTCACATCATTTGCTTAATGGTAGCTCCACTTTTCACTCAGCATTTCATTTATATACACTTCTCAAACTTCTTCCAGTCAATGCTTAGCCTTTGAGTTTTGAAACCCTGATATTACATTATGTATACTGTTTTCAATCTCAAATGATCTGATATTTAGATTACATCTTTCTTAAAATGTCAGTTCTTGTCCACTACTCAATAACTATGTCCTCAGTCACAGTGTCCTCCTCTCAGGTACTATTTCCCTTTTTCCCCTTGTTCACAGCCAGGAAGATTCCCATCTTGAACGTGCTGCGGGCTGCATACATGTCACAGCACAATTTTGCTTTGGCCCAGGATCTCGTTTATTTCCTAAATCACTCAGCAATGAAGCACAATGACTGCTCCCTAGGACCTCATCATGCGGGGTCAGCCTTCTCTTATCATCAGGAAGTTCCTTTGAATTTTAAACTTCTGCAGAAATCCATGTCTCTTCACACAGCCACTGCCATTCGGATGTTATTGATCACAGCCACCACAAGCATTGCTCAGGCTAATGACCTGCTAATGACCTTCCCATCCACTCTCTGACATTAGT